AAAAAAAAAATACACACCACAACTTTACCCTACAAAGGAGAAAAAAGACCATTGTCCAATAAAAGAAACTTATAGTTCATGGACTGGAGAAGGTGAATAGGGTGGCTATGGAGTTAGGATGCTCGGTGGGTGAGTGGCTAAGAAGCACGGATATGGACACAGGTGTCGTATCCGATACGATACGGACACGACGATACGGCAAAATCCCAAAATGTAGGATACGGGTACGGCGAATATACGACTAATTAAAATAATTATATATATTTTTATATATACAACAACAACATTAATAAAACAAACAAGACATAGTAAACATTAATTAAATTGAAATAGATCAAAATTCAAAAAATATATATAATTTTCAAAACCAACAGGCAGCAGCAGACTAGCACAGAAAACAGCAACACAGATGACCAAAAAAAAAGCTAGCTAGGAAAGCATAACAAAAAAAGAGAAGACCGAAGCACAACAAAAAAGAGAAGACCAGCAGGCAGCAAGCAGCACAACACCGAAAGGCAGCAAGTTAGGAAAGCAATTTTCAGTATTTAAAACCAGTTGGCAGCAGCACACTAGAACAGAAAGGTAGCAACACAGATGACCAAGACCAAAAAAAAATCCCGAAGGCAGCAAGCGACACAGCACTGGACCAAAACAAAATTTTCAAATTTTAAAAACCCTAAAAATCCCCAATCAAATTAACCTAATCAAATTTTTTGAAAGTCCACACTCCACACAGACCAGAAGATGAAGAGGTAAGAACAACAATAGATCTAAAAAAAAAAAATAGAAGCAAGAAGAAGATCGCAGTCGTAGAGCGCGATCGCAGTTGCAGAGTGCGATCGCAGCTGCAGGTGAGTAGCCCTTTCTCTTCCTTCTCCTTCTTCTCCTCCTCCTCTGGTCCTCTCGAGCTCCTCCTCTTCTCTTCTCTCTTCTCTCCTCTCTCTCTCTCACACCAAATCTCGATTGGAGTCGGTTCACTGATCAATGACGCTTTAGTTTTTTCTTTTCCAAGCCAAAACGACATAACTTTGGCCTTTTTTTTTTTTCATTTCGACCTACCTAAGTTTTTAAAATAACAAAAGTACCCTGCCGTATCCCCCAAGTATCCCCCACGTATTCGACCAAAAAAATGACAGCCACTATTCGGAACACTTCTACAAGTGTCAGATACGTATCTGACTGTCGGACACATGTCCGACACTACCACGGCGACCCCCTGACGAGTATCCGTGCTTCCTAGGTGAGTGGCCTCTGAAACACACTCCCCTTGGACGGTAATCTTTTGTCTAGGACTTTTTAGGATCCTATTGTTTAAAAAGTTTGGAGGAGATTAAATAGGTGGAAGAAATCTTTTATTTTTAAGGGGGTAGACTAACATTGATTTAGTCTGTCTTGTCTAGCATTTCGGTATACTTCATACCTCCCTTTAAAATATCTTGTGTAGTGGCTAGGAAATTAAAGGTTTGATAAGGAATTTTTTCTAGGAATAGACGGGAGAGGGTAGGAAGGACCATTTGATTTCGTTGGGAGGTGATGACCACGCCAAAAGATATGGGAGGGCTTTCGGTTAGAATTTGGTGAAAAAGAATGGAGCCTTTGTTGAGAAATGACTTTGGTGGTTCCTTTAGAACAAGATTCATTGTGTCATGTCGTTATTAGGAGAAAATATGGTTTACAGGCTCATAGGTGGATGTTAATTAGGTTGGAACGGGTACTCTTCGATGTCCATGAAGGTTTATTTCTTAGTGGTTACCTTACTTTTCTCAAATACTCAAGCTCATTATGGGAGATGGAACTAAAGTGCATTTTTGGGAGGATATTTAGGTTGGTGGGTCTTCTTTATCTAGTCTCTTTCCTTGTTTGTATCATGCCTTTATCAAGGGACTTGGGTTGCATCTATGGTTCAATCAGATTCTAATCCGATTTCTTGGAATTTTAGTTTTTGTAGGAATCTCAATGATCGGAAATGTTTACTTCTTTCTATGCTTAACAATGTTACATTGAGTCAAATTTTTGTGGATAGGAGAAAGTAAATTGGGCCATTCAAAAGGCATTTTTTCTTGTAAATCTTTCTTCGAGTTTTCAATTGATGATCCTTTAATTTCATTATTCTACCCATCATTGAAGATTTAGAAGATTAAGGTTAAGGTATAGGTTTGTGCATGGATAATTGTCCATGCTAAAATTAATACTAATAAAATCCTTCAAAAGAGGAGACCTCATTATTGTCTTCAACCACAATGGTGTGTGTTATGGGTAAAGGTAACAATGAGTGTGGATCACTTATTTTTGCATTGTCCATCGTCGAGTGCATTAGGGAATAAGTTTTTTGACTTTGTGAGTCTTTCTTGAGTTGCTCTGAGGATCATGATTTCTATGTTTTGTTNTCGAGTGCATTAGGGAATAAGTTTTTTGACTTTGTGAGTCTTTCTTGAGTTGCTCTGAGGATCATGATTTCTATGTTTTGTTTAAACAATGTGGGGTGTACGGAGAAAATAGTAGATTGAAGACCATTTGGCATAGCGTTTCCTTTGCTACACCATGGGTGATTTGGAAGGAAAGGAATGCAAAGATTTTTGAGAATAAATGTGCAAAGTTCAAAGGACTATGGGATAGACTTTATTTTTTGATTTCTTTTTGGGCTTCGACGTCTAAGGAGTTTGAAAATATTCCTCCATTTTGTATTAAGAAAAGCTAGAAAGCATTGGTGCCTTGTTGTTTTATTACTCTTTGTTTATATTTTTTATATTTTCGTGGTTTGTAATTGTATTGAACTCCTTGCCCACATTTGATTTGGCTCTTGTAATGACTTCCATTCCCTTTTGGGGAATTCATTTCAGCCAAAAAATACTAACAAGTCCAATAACCCTGAATGAAACATAATCAATACTATATTTTTGAGAACTCATTTTCCTAGCTACACAACCACCCTCCAAAATATTCATTCTGAAATGTCATTTTTCTGTATTAACCCTTTATTTGTTCAACATAGATGATTTACATAAAATGCTTTCAGCATTCTGCAGTAATTGGTTGCAAGTAAGATGTTTTGAGATCTTTTTCAGGGCAAGTCGATTTCATGGTAGACACTCGCAATTTTTACAACCAAATCACAAGCAGGTATGTGCACCAACATACAAATATCTGCAAGTACAAGCACAAAACATATATGCAGGTAAATATACATCTTGGTTAAGTTATATGCCCAGTTATGCATAAACCTATATATGCGCTGTTGTGCACATGCAAGCTTATATATATTTGCACATGAAACATTATTGTTTGTATACATGCTCAATATTGATCTATAAAATTTTCACTTTAACAAATGTTTATCCGTGTACTCGTGTTGCATTTTATTAATAATTTCAGAAAGTCAAAATGAGAGATACAATTTTATTTCTCATAAAAGGCCTCCATGGAAAATATTTTTTGGTGTAAAACATTTTATGTTTAAACAACAGATTGTAAGAGGTCTAAATATGCCTTCCCTAAATTCAGACCTAAGCACCAACGGATTAAGTACAACTTACCACAAAACTCAATACAAATAAAATTCTATTTAGACCCCATCTTCCATTACCTCACAGACAACATCAGTTCGTTTCATAATATGAAAAAGAGTGATGCATAATTATAAGTTTAGGTTATATAATGGAAACCCTATAAATATAATTCTAAAGATTAATCATTTCCACGCTGAGTTTATGCATCTATATCTGATATATGCGATTTCACCAACCTTTTCTCGTAAAGAATTGCAGGAAAAAGGCTAGCAAAGGTCTCAGGCTTCATATCCCTCTCCTCTCGAAGCTGAACACAAGCCTTTGATACCTTCAACAACCCAACCAAACCCACAATTATCACACATTGCAACCACAATTCAAGGAAAACATTACCAAAAAAAATCAGAAAGTTTACTCAAGGAGTTTGAGCATCGGTAGCAAGACCAGAGAGACCGATTAAGAGCTTTTCATGAATCTTGTAAATCCTCTGAAAATCATTTGCAATTATGCGAAGTTAAACTCCGAGCCGCCGATTACTGGCGATTGAGAAGCAGTTCTTTCCGACCATCGCCACTAGGGCACTCCCATTGTACTCAAAGATCTATAAATCAAACAAAACAATAAGCACAAGAAAACTAGGGTTTCAAAATATATTTAGAGGGAGAGAGAGAAAGAGAGAAGAACTTACCGACATTATAAGAGAAGAATTGGAAGGAAGGAATCTGAAAATGAGAGAGAGAGAGAGAATGCGCGAGCTGGGGAGTGCATACATGTGCTGTCTTGGGCGATGGGCGGAGCTCCTCTGCTGTTTACAGCGTCTCCGACCACCGCGCTCATTTTATTATTTTAAATATTCATTTTTTAAAATTTACTCTAATCGCATTCTCTATTTTAACTAATTTTCAATAATATAATTTAAAAATACAAGCGCTATAATGATAACATGTCATACCACGTCATCAAATTAAAAAATTTNTTTCTCTATTTTAACTAACTTTCAATAATATAATTTAAAAAATGCAAACGCTATAATGAAAACATGTCATACCACGTCATCAAATTAAAAAATTTAAATTTTAAATTTTACAATGGTACAAAAAATTTAATTTAGAATTTGAACTATTATGGTCTTTAATTCCAATTTAAGCTTGCTTTTTGGTGCTGTAATTTTCTTTTCTTTATTAAAATTATTTGCTTTAATTTAATTCCAAGTTTGCATCCTACCCATCCCTTTTAGATCAATAACAGGGACAAAAACTTGGTAATGATTTTATAATAAGAAGTTGTGTAATACAAAATTCGCAGTCACAGAACTAAGAAATCAAAGGTCATTGCACAAATCAAGTTGAAAGAGAGAACATGTATCTAAATACAAAGCTGATACACTTTCAATGCTTAGTTTCTACCAATAATGACTAAGCCCCTGCTTTACAATCATATAAGACTCAAAACCAGTTTCCTTTATTGCGTTTTGGTTTTCTTTGTTTCTCATTATCACTGATCTTCACTTCAACTCCTGCTCTTACTCTGTTGGAACATTGTATCTTCCAGGGTTACAAGAGATTTCAACTGTCGGCCAAGAGAAGCAATTATTTTCTGGCACTCTGCAAACAATCCATTTTCTAGTTGTGAAAGAGAGAGTCCTCCTAGCTCAGCTTCTTCCCCTGCAGCTCAACTCCTCTTGTCATCAAAACTGAAGCTTCAGACCAGCTCAGCCTAAAAGAACTAGCTTCAGACAGTCAAGATCAGCTTCCCCCAGCTGCTGAAAACCCCATTCCAGTATGCTATGAACCCCACACATCCCAGTCCTTTGTTTACTCAGCACAACTCACAGCAGCAATTTGCCAGAAAAACAGATAGCATACTGAAGCAAAGCAGAGCAGCGCACCAGACCAGCAAAAAGTCCACAGCAACCCTCCAATCATCAGCACCCCAGCAGCATTTCAAAAAGTCATCCCAGTAAAAGGCAAAACACAGTCCAGAAACCTCCAATCCCCTACTATGATACAGAAGAAAACTCCAATCCCCTACTGCAAAAACAGACCAGACAGACAGAATGCACAACAAATGCACTCAGCCCCTAGCACTACCCTCCAAAGTCACAGCAGAACACCACTGATACAGACCACTGTCCAAATCAAAAAACCAGCTACAACCAGATAAGGTCAAACAGACTCAACCAGATCACCACTCCTCCACCTCAACCAATCAACAACTCAGCACAGAACTCCATAGCTCATCAGCTTAACCAAAAACAATAACACACAGCTTCACCACCAAACACAGCTGAATAAACATAAAGATTTCAAAACTATATGCACAATTACAAAAAGTCTTATTCAAGTTAAGAAAGAACAGTTCCCCATCACCCCCAATCCAGAAAATTAAATATAGGAAAGTAGTTTTTTCAAAAAAAAAAATACAGAGCAAAGCATTAAAGTAACCAAACCAATATGAACAGAAAATTCAATTCAAGCTATGAAGTTAACAAGCTGTTTTAATTCAAAAAGACTCCAATACGATCAATTATATACTATTGTGATCATAATGCTATATATTGAAAAAGAAAATATCTGCAGCTTGAATCAAATTAGACCAGGATTCATAACCTATTAAGAAGCTTCAGAGCAGCCCATTCGAGGAAGACGAAGACTCAAGATTAAACTTATGTGAACTTCAATTCGCATACCCATCAAATACGAACTTCAATTCTCATTGAGGCAATTCATCAAACATAATGTGCACAATTAAAATAAACTCATCTAAAAAAATTTCAAGAAACTTATTGAACCCAATTGAATAAATCAAATAGCACATAAAAACAAAACCAGCACAAAAAGCACTTGAGATTCAACATAGAAACAAAATTTCAATGCATAAAAATTAAATACAAAATCAAAATGTTTGGTCTCAGCAAGTATCAGAGCTCTCAGAAAGTATCAGAGGAGGCAAGGCTTGTGCTTTGACTCAATTTGATGTAAATAAAAACAATACATGAAGGAGGAAATGGAAGGAACGTTGTGTCGTGGTGCAGAAATGGAAGGAAGGCAGTTGAATGGCGAGTGGATTGCCCTCAGCAAATCTGGCGAGGAAAAATACTTCAGCTATTTTTGCGAGCTGAATGGCGAGGGCGTTGGAGCACACGAACAGAGTGTTTGCTTGCTAAAATGGCCAAAAGGAAGTGGTCGGTGAGGGTGTTGGAGATGCCCTTAGAGGTCTAACAGAAAACTTTGCTGTTAATTGGGACGACGTAGTTTTGGTACCAATCTTTCTAGCCAAGAAGACAGCAACGAACGGCGTCGTTTACACTTATTCGCTTCCTTACGCAAGCTGGATGATCCACCTTCATTTTGGCAAATCATTCCCGCCCAAAGCATGCAAAGACCTCTGCTCTTCTTTTCTTTCTTACGCAAACTGGATGATCGCTTCCATTTTTGGCAAATCACTCCCTCCCAAAGCATACAAAAAGCTCCACTGCATAAAGTTTCATTGCTCTTCTCTCTTTTTGTTTGTCTCTTATGATTTCAGGTAATGTTGATATTTTTTTAGAATTTTTTTATGAAATTTTAGTTCATAAAATTCAGAACTTCTTTTTTTAAATTTTCTGGCGCTTCGACCTCGTCTCTTATGATTTCACACTGGTAATTTGATATTTATTCAGAATTTTTTTTATGAAATTCCAATTCATAAAATTCAGAACTTTTTTTTAAAAATTTCATGGCACTTTGACCTCGTCTCTTACGATTTCACACTGGTAATTTAATATTTTTTCAGAATTTTTTTATGAAATTTCAGTTCATAAAATTCAAATTTTTTTTTTAAAATTTCCTGTAGAATGTTGATAGAATTATGTGACTACCATCATTCTTTCTACTACGTTTTTGTGAGTATATTTAATTGGTTGATATATGGGTATTGATGTTTTAGGCTTTGGTGAAATTGAGTTATATAGACTTTGATACATAAGATTTTCTTATTCATAGGGAACATAAAAAATAAGTATTTACCTATTCCATTTGCAATTGAAAATTTATATGGGTAATTTTTGATCTTATATTTAATTTGTGTAATTGTTTAGTTATTGTAGGGGACCTAATCTATATTGGAGATGGAATGTGTTGAGATTGATAAAACAGACAATACTCTATGTATGAAAAATGCAATTTGACTTGGAAGAAAATGCTTATAGATTCTATAACAATTATGGTGGAACTGTGGGATTCAGTGTGAGAAAAGATTATCACAACAAGAGCTTGAAGGATGGTGTATTAATTTATAGAAAATACGTATGTTATAACAGGGACAAATGAGTAAAGATCAAAGGGATTGAAAAACAACAAAGGCTCGAGCAAAAACTCAAATAAATTGCCTGCTCACATGTGCATATCCCTCAAGAGAGATATTGAAAAATTTGTTGTTGTTAAATGGGAAGACCAACACAATCACATTGTGCACTTGACCGAATGTATGCATATGATATCATCCCAATGACAGGTTACTTTAGCTCAAGGTATCAATGTTGATATTGCTAAGGATTGTGAGATATCACTTAAGGCGTCCTACGAACTTTTGAGTACCCAAGCGGTGGGAGAGAAAGCTTAAGATTCACTCATCAAAAGCAAAAAAAATTCATTTGAGAAATGAAGCTACGAGACTTGAAATACGGTGAAACAGGTAGTTGTTGCAATATTTCCAAGTAGAAGCAGCTAAAAATCCATCATTTTATTATAGAGTCCAATTGGATGTCGAAGAGCGCATAACAAATATTTTTTGGGTTGATCCAGGGATAATTATTGATTATGTCCACTTTGGGGATGTTGTCACATTTGACACAACATTCCGAACAAACAAGGAGTACCGACCCTTAGGCATTTTGATTGGATTCAACTAGTTCAGGGAAACGGTGATATTTGGTGTTGCATTATTGTACGATGAAAATACATCATCATTTCAGTGGTTGTTTGAGACATTCCTACAAACAATGTTTGGGAAGAAGCCTGTTACCATTTTCACTGACCAAGATCAAGCAATGACTAAAACTATATCTATAGTCATGCCAGAGACATATCATGGGTTATGATGTTGGCACCTTTCCCAAAATTTCCAATCCAATTAAAAGAGTGTATGTATGGATACGAGGAAAAGCATGAGTTAGTTGATGATTGAAAATTGTTACTTGATGAGTATGATTTGCACGATAACAGTTGGATGAATTCAACTTGGGCGCTAAGAGAGAAATGGGCATCTGTTTATATGAAGCAGATTTTCACAGCCGGTATGAGGAGCACTCAGCTAAGTGAGAGCTTAAACTTAGCATTACAAAATTACTTAAAGTCAGATCATGATATTGTTCATTTTTTTACTCATTTTGACAGGGTTTTAAATGATAATAAGGAGACAGAGAAGGAATATCAAGCTAGGCAAAAGTTGCCTAGCTTGATAAATGAAGTTGAAAAGAGCTCTTATGCTGCTGAAAGCAGAACAATGTTACACTCCTCCTGTTTTTGATTTATTTCAAGATGAATATGATGTATTCCAGTGTGTTATTGCAAATCTTTGTAATGTGTTCGATGGATGTCATCAATTCGTGGTGGAATTGTATGATGAAGAGAGAAAATACATGGAGTTGATCAATATCAATGAGCAAACCGTTTTTTGTAGCTGTCAAAAATTTGAAATGATTGAGATATTATGTGATCATGCACTTAAAGTGCTAAACATGATAAACATTAAGCAAATTCCTAACCAATACATAATACAAAGATGGAGGCGAGATGCAAGAAAGTGGTCAAGCTGATTTTTGCAATGATGTTGCTGCAATGTTGGATGGTGCTTCAAGTTTTGAAGTCCAGTCATGCTTGATCTTGACAATTTCTTTTTGATCCTTTTGAAATGTGAACTTACAATGTATTCTTTTGCTATGGGGATGATGGATTTTCTATTTTCTTATTTTAGAAGAGCTACCATCCCTTTGGAAACACTTGTGTACACGATCTTATTTTTGTTTTTTTTATGGAATTGATCTCACCTATGTATGATTCATGGTTTTCAATGTGTAGTTGTTATCTTGCACAAGTACAATTTTTGTTATGTACCATACACATTGTTCAAACAACCAATACACATTTATTCATGTCCTATACCATGTTCAACCAATACACCAAAGCACCATGTTCAACCAACCAAAACACATTCATTCATGCCATGAACCATCTTCAACCAACACATCATTTTCAACCAACCAATACACTTTATTTCATAGAAAAAGAATTACAATCAATAAGACAAGCAGACAAACCCTACTCTGTCCTTATCCAGAAATGCAAGAAAAAACAAGAATTAAAAAATGACAATCTTATTCCCTAAAGCTTTGGTACCCTGTTGATCTTGCTGTTGTAACCTCCTTGCCTGATCAAGAATGTTTATCAGACTGGAAAAATCAGAAGAAGACTTTTGCTGCACAACCCAATTGGCGAAAAAATTCCTATTTACTGTGTATTTAGAAAATTCAGTCATTCAGCAGCCAAAGTAGAGTCCAAGCAATTCAGTCATTCACTATGATACCATCTGATGCAATCCTCAATCTCTCATCAATGCAACCATCATTAGATGTATCAAATGCTTTGTCACCATCAAAATATTGCACACTTCTGTTCTTCTACATGATACAAAAATAATAATTGCAAGCTTCATATAGAAGTTATAAAAGATATATAGACATTAAGCAGAATATTAAGGACAAACTTGAGACTTAAATTTACATAACTAGCCACCATAATTAAGCTAAAATATCACAGCCAATACAACAACAAAAAGGACAAAACAATTCATCATTTATATGCAGACTGAAACTGTACAAAAGACAATAAAACAAATGAAACTAGATAAACCAAATCTGAGTACCATGAAATTTCAAAACAAAAAGTTAGTAATAGAATAGCAATTTGATCAGAGACTCACATAAAGTTGAGTTCTTTATTTTCTCACATCCAACTAATCAAAAACATAAGAAAAAACCCATTTCATACTT